GCTCCTAAATTTTACCGTTCCTTGAATCGACCACGGCAGTCGTGGAGGGGATATAGCGCGATAAACGAGGGCCAATGAAAATAATCCCTCTCGTCGTAAATTAAAGAGGCAGCGCAGCGTCCTCGGTGTGAAAACTGTTTCGAACCGCGGTGGTCTCGAGCGAATTTACGCCACGAATCGAATAGAGAAAACGAATATATGGATCGTTTTTTCTTCTTTTCGAGAAAAAAAGGAGATTCGTTCTTTCGTGTTCGAATTTCGAGTTCGGATTAAACGAATCTAGGATAGAATCTAGAATAGATGGAAAGGAATATATACGTTACGTTAAATCAAATTCTCTCTCTCTCTCTCTCTCTCTTTCTGAAAGTTTGCCAGATATCGTTGATGGTTCTACGGCTGCTAGTTATGCAGCCATCGTCTCCGCGCGCATTCCTTTCGGGATTTTCGGCCCCATTGTCATTCCCCCTTGTTATTTTCTCTCGTAAACAGGCACATTTTCAAAGTTAATTCGTCGTTTCGGTGGATAGTATTCGTGAATACGGGACGTGATCGCCGTAAGAATCGGGCGGCGAAACGTGGAAACGAATTCCTCTCCCTTCTTCTTTTTCTTCGAAAAGAAACGTTCCCAAATAATGCGGATCCTTTTTTAATCCGTTCGAGGAATGGAACGTCACGCGAAATCCTCCTCTCTTCCGAATCGCGTCGATTTTTCACCACCGAATTTTCCTTTTCCCGAATTTTCTCCTCGAGAACGAGAAGAAGAAGAAGAAGAAGAAGAAGAAGAAGGAGAAGAAGAAGAATCATCCATCCATCCATCCATCCAGCCACGGAGATTAACGGTTAGAGGAGGAAGGTACGAGCAAAGCGCGGCGTTCATCGCTCGCTCGTGCGTATATGGGATCCGTAATGATCCTGCGAGGTTGGCGATAAAGCCAACCTTATTAAGATCCCGTTAAGGTAAACAAGCTTTCTTCCTTTTCTTACACGATCATCCTTCGAGATAATGCTCGGTCTAATGCTTTTTCGAACGAAACGACTCGTTCATCCCTGTTCTCGGGGTAGGGGGGAGAGGAACGACGTGTTATTTTAACCGATCGTTTCTTTAACGCGCGTCTCCTGCCAAACGAAATTACTTCCAACTCGTTTCCGTTCGCCGCTTAATAGAAATTTCTGACACGGACCGGTTCCCTCTTCCCTCCTCCTGGAGGGGGGAGGAGGATAGAGCGAATGTAAACAAAATCAAGCGTTTAATTATCATTCGTCCACCGATTTCCAATTCGCGATCGATCGAGACTAGCCGTATCCTTCTCCTCTCCTCTCCTTCTTCTCTCCCCCCCCTCCACCCCTCGTTTGGCCCACGAGCGCGCTATGAAAATATTTTTGGATTCGATCGGGGTACGGGTTGGAAACACTCCAAAAAACGAACGGGCCGACTCGGGAACGACGACGAATTTTCGAATGTTCGATACAACTACTCGTGCTTTTCAACCCTTTCTTGGGCCCATGATTTCGTAACGTAAAATGAATTTGTACGTGCGATTTTTTGACGAGGAAACTGCAAATTTGATTAATTGGGGAAATGGCGGGAATGGCATAAATTTCGAGAGAGTCGAAGTGTTATCGGATAGAATGAAATTATTCGTAGCAGATCCACGGGGCGCGATATGCACGGCTCGTGATCGCTGGATCGACCTGGAACCGTTCCAAATTTTCGCGCGTGCATGGTTTAACGCAAGCCTGGAAATTTCGACACGGCCAATTTGCCGCGTTTGCCCAAACAACTGTAATAACTGTAAGGAGCGGATAATTGGACGCGCGGGAAAGAATAACAGCGGGCGTGTCTTTCTCGTCGCGTTTACCGACAATCGGTATTACGGATGTTGAATAACTCGGGGATTACGCGTATTCGACCACTTGGCTCGCGTCCAATTCTCGCCTGCGTACACAAATTCACGAATGCGTTTCAACGCGTGTAAATACAGCATCCGTGAAACAATCCCTCCTCCGAACTTCTCAGGAATTAATTATAATACCGTACTGTATTCCAACTGTGTTCCACGCACCTTACTTACCGATGAGAATCGTGTGAATCATCGATTACAATACGGCCAATTTCGTTATACCGCGTTATATCACGGATATAATTTAACAACTCTCCCCGACATTGTTCCACTTTTAATCTCTCGAAAACCACTATTTGTCAATCCCGTTCCTTGGACGTCGCTCCTGTCTAACCGACGATGACAGGTTTAAGAGGTTGGAGGAGCAAGACGTAAAATCGATCGCGTCTACCATACGGCATTGGTCTCAAGGCTGGTGCTCGCTCGCTCATCGATCCTTCCCCGTCTTTATTTTCGCGCGAATTTAAATCGTAATAAGGCTGGCTTATTAACATGGCTGGCCATGAGTCGAAACGCGGGATGACTTATTTTTCGACCGATTCATCGAACTCGAATGCAAATTATCGGCGCTCATCATTAAACGTCGATGAATCATCGCCAGATTACGTGGCGATACCCGTCAAATTGTTTTACATTTTCTACGTTTTTTCTTTCCCGTTCGTCGAGTTGAAAAAAATCGAATATTAAAAATCGAAACCCACGCGGAATTATTTACGATAATCGAATCTCAACTATTCCGAAAAACTTCCATCACTCGTCCAACGAACGTGGAGGCAAAGTTCTTCTTTCCACCTCGAAGGTGCGTTTGATCGGGTTTCTCGCAATCTCGCGCGGGTGTCAACGCGTATTCGTTCTGACCAGTTAGCGGAGAGTAACGATCGACATTAAAATTTTACACACGGTCGTAGAACCGTGATAGAGAGCCGGTATCGAATGTCCGTGGTGGAACGATTGTTGTTCGCCTGTTGTAACGATGTTGAAACGGGGAATTAATCATTGGAAACACGCGTCGCCTTCTCCCGCGCGTAACGATGATCTCATTAAGTAATGATGTTTTCTTCTCCCCGATTGGAAGGAAGGAAGGTAGGTAGGTCAATCGTTGTCGCGAGTACAACGATCGCGTCGTCTCGACATATATATATATACACACACACATAACGAGAAGGAAAAACCGCGACTATATTCGGAACGATGATTAACGAGCGACCACGATTATTCCTTATCTCTAACCGACGATTTCCTCCCTCTTCGTCGTCGCTGCCGTCTTTGTTTCTCGCGAGCCGAGCCTTACCCTTCGTCGTTCGCCTTTTCGTTTCGATCGAAAATGTCTCGTCTTCCTCCTCGACGAATTTCGAATTTCGACGACAAACCTTTCTTCAACGACGAAGGAGAAAAAGAGAGAGAGAGAGAAAGAGAGAGACCGGTGAAACCGCGCTCCGAGAAGCAACTGCACGTAGGATTGCTCAATTACCCTCCTCCCTCCTTCCCCCGACACGGTAATTCCACCGTGGCCGGCACGTACAAGTAAATCGTCGATGGAACGTGGCGGGTTTACCTTTGTGGCGAATTGGCACAAAAAGAGGGAGAGATCGCGACGATTTCTTTTTTTTTCCCTCTTTCTTTCTCTTGTATACAATTAACGTATCCTCCTCCGCGGATTGGATCGAACGAACGATCCTCAATTCGATTTAATTTCTCCTCGTTCGCTATCCGTATTTTTCAACGTTACTCCTTCGAATATAATATATCGTTTCAACATGGAGGCAAGCGGGTAGAAACGTTGTTTTAAATTTTGTAGCGGCACGTGGCGATCCCTTGGAATCGCAAATCTAGTCCGTCGCCTCGCGATGGATAACAGCTGTGCGCAATTCCGATTAACGCGCTCCATCGTGCAAACCAAGTCGCGCACCAAGCACACGAACAAAACGAAAATTTACTCGCGTAAATTTTTTAATATCCTCTCTAATATCTCGATTTCACGTTTAAACGGTTCCTTCGGTGGTCGACCGAACCATTTTTCTTTCGTACGCGTTTTTACTTAGTAAGCGTGTATTTCTATCGTCGGCAGTTAGTGGTGACGTTTTTTCGACGAGACGAGTGGTCTCTGTCGTTCAACGAAGCATGTTAAAAAACGTCAGAACGGAGCTCGACTCGCCATTCGCCGTTACCTAAACCATAATATAATAAAACTATCGAGATAACTTTTAGTGTTTCCAAGAGAAGAATCGAATTTCTTCGTTTTCAACGATGAAACGCTCGGTTTAACTTTTCTATCTCGATAATTAATCTTGCAGCTATACAAGCAACTTCTATAAGGATAATTCCATTTTTATTTATTACTTTCTGGAATAACGAAATTCGATTCGAAATTTTGTTTCTGAAAACAATTTCGTCGAATACGTTAGAATTAGAATTATTTTATCATCGTGTGGCATCTTTCTACCAACGTCGGGGAAGCGAAAAAAAGGAAAAAAGAAGATCGAAGTTGATCAAGTACGCGATGTACTCGGCTCGATATAAAGGGAGAATCGCGGTATCGTTGACCGACCTCGCGCGGTGTCGATTTCTCAGCCAAGTTGCCATCTCTCTCTCTCTCGAGGCCTGCCGTACCTGTGGATGTCAGGTCGAGAATATTAACTCGAATAAAAGCGGTTTGCGGTCGGTCGTTGCCTACATTGCCAAGGTCGGTCTAATCCCCTTGCAGTAGGTAGCAAGGGATGTTTCGTCTCGTCGATAGTAGCCGGGGCTTAATGGCCGGCCACAGCTGCTGCCATGCCAGCAAAGCGCAATGAATTCGAAATAATTCCGAGAATCTCTCACAACTCTCGTGAGCGGTCTCGCGAACGATTCTCAACGACCACCGTCTTTAATCTCTCGTCGACAAGCAGGAATTCGTGAATGATTCCGATCGAAATGGATTCGCGGATATTATCGAAACACGTTCGTATAATCCCATCTTTCCTCGACCATTTATCATCGACCAACAATCCCCGATAATCCCGAACGCGCGATTCGACTTCGTGTTACGATCGACTTCGTATATTCGTATATATATATATACGAGATACAAAACGTTAGAAAACAAGGAAGACGACTAACCGTATTAGCGACGTCCGCTTGCGTGCCCGTGTCCTCCTCGACTCCCCCAGCCTTGATCCCGTCTTCCTCTTCCTTCTCGTTGTCCGACGTGTTCAGATACTCGTCGTAATCCTGCTCCAGACTCTTGGTCTTCGGTTGAGTATCGTCCATCTTCGACGATCTGGCATTGTTCTCCACCGTGCCGCCGCTCTTTGTCGGTTTACGCTCCACCAGCGAACCGGTGGACAGATAGCCGGCTAAATTTTCGTTCGACGCGCGTGCAGATTGGTGATAATAACCGGACGAGTTTTTCCCGTATACTCGGGAAAGCAACGGCCTGGTCAGATTCTTGGGCTCGTATCGGAAATTGGCCAACGATCCGTCGCGTCTCGCGTACTTCTCCATCTGGATGTTCCTGTAATCCCTCTTGATCGCGGATCTCGGGGTGGTCGGGTCGTCGGACGTTAACTTCCGGATGATCTCGTCGTAAGTTTTCAACGGTGATTTCTTCTTCTTCTTCTTCTTCTCGCTCTTGTAGAAATCATTGTCGAATTCCTCCTCCTCCTCCTCCTCGTCCTCGTTCTCCTCCTCTTCCCTCGCGTTTCGTTCCTCGTCGTTATCCTTGTCGTCCACGTATCCCTCGTCCTCCTCCTCCTTCCAACCATCGTCTTCCTCCTCCTCCTCTTCCTCTTCCTCCTCCTCCTCCTCCTCCTCCTCTTCCTCCTGCTCTTCCTGCTCGTCGTCGTCGTCGCGGCCGACGTCGTCGACCTCGTCTACGCCGCGATACTCGTAGTCACCGAAATAACCGGTTCTCTTTCTCTCATCGGTTTTCGAGTAGCGGGCAGTGGAATTGAACCTCCTTCGAATCGAGTCGTCGTGCCTCCTCGTCGTCGCACCGCCCTCGGGATGCCGGTATCTCTTTCTTCGACCGTCGTTGGGCCGCCAGCTCGAGAGCTTCCTGCGCTTCCTGCCCACCACGTTCTTCCACCAGGATCGATGCTTCTCGAGGATGTTCTCCTCGTTGTAGTCGCGACTACTCGGCCTCACCGAGTCGTAATCGACCTCGTCCTCGTAATAATCCGACTCGCCGCGACTTCTCGGCGAGTAGCCGGACAACTTTCGTCGAGCCCTGTCTTCGAACAGCTTCGAATACCTCGAGTGGCTTCGATCGCCGTATCGGGGGGCGACCGACGCTCTATGCCTCTCGTTCTCGTTCTCGTGGTACCAGCCGCCCGCCTCGCGATAACCGCCTCGACGATACCTGGGGGGCGGCGGGTAACGCGGCGGTTCCAACATCCGGCCGCCGTGTTGGATCCTCGAGATCCGGGGATAGGATCTCTCGTGATGATACGAGGAGCGAGCCTCGTAATCATCCTCCTCCTCCTCCTCCTCCTCTTCATCCTCGTCCTCCTCCTCCACCTTCTTCCTCCTCTTCCTCCTCTCCTCGTCCCCCCCCTCGTCCACCCGATCGTCCCGCTCGAGGAACGAGTCGTCCTGGTCGTAGCGGTCGAGCTCCTGCGGCCAGGACGATCGCCTGTTTTCCACGAGGTCATGACGATTCCTCCTCCCGCTCGAGGAGGAGGGCTGCTCGTGCCTGTGCCTGTGCCTGTGCCTCGCGTCGTACGCGGTGCTCTCGTGGAACGGTGCCTTCCCTCGGCCGCCAACACCACGCACGCTATCGCGAGGATCGAGAGTAACAACAGCCTCCTATCGTATCGCGTCATTTCTTCGTCTTCGTCTGTTCGCCCCCCCTCGATTCACCCTTACATCTTATCGCGCCCCTGAGACGCGCGATTCCCTCGACCGAGATCGAGACCGAGCAAACTTTCTCAGCGATGCATCGCGCAACCCCGTTTCCCGATCGAACGAGATCTATCTCGTGGTGGCCGCGATCCAGACATCCAGATCGCGGAAATTGGGCAAATGTTCGACCTCGGCCTTGGGGATGAGGAAGGGACGAGGAAGGGGAGAAGGAAGATGCAGGAGACGAGAGAGAGAGAAGGATCGGATTCCTTCGCCACGTGGTGGTTACGATTCGCCGCGTTGATTCGCGATGGTTTCGATCAAGTCAGCGAACAAAACCCGGGAATTTGTCCGTCTATCTATCTATCTATCCATCCAAATGTCCCGCAACGTTTGCTTTCGTTGGCCAAGTTCCAGTTCGCCCGCACAAAGTATCCCCGCAACGGGAAACGACGACCTCGCGCGTAACGATTCCGTTCACGTTTCGCACATTTCTAGTTCGTTGTTCGCGCCACCGTTCTCGCGAAACCACGTTTAGACCTTTAGCGGGCAAGAAGAGGACGACGGTGGTGGTTGTCAACACCGCGTCGAATCGTCTCTCGTCATCCCCCCCCTTCGATGGACGATTTCGATCCCCGAAATTTTGTTCACCGTTGCGTTCACTCGCTCGTCGCCGAATGCCGGCGCGCACCGCTTCGTTCGACTCCGACGGGACCGAGATAACGGCGAATCGTATCGCGGACCGAATGTCGCGGCCGACTGAGGCCAGCCTCTCCGCCGGCCGCGCTGCTTCACAGATCGCGGAACGCGTTGCGCATGCGTGCGCCCGATATTCGTCTCCCTCTCCCGCCCCTCACCCGCCTTTTCTACCTCCCCTTCGTCCCTTACTCGCTACCTGTCTGCTGCTCTCGTGTGCACACGCGGCCACGCGCACCTTCCATCCATCCATGCGTGTGTACACGAGCTCCCAAAACTCGATATCGTCCTCTCGATCGCGCTTCTCTTCGCGCCCATTCTCCCCTCCGACCACTTCACCCACGTGCTCCCTGTCCTCGCATTAAATCCCGATTATTTTCTCTATTCCTTTTTCTATTTTCCTTCTTTTTTTTCTTCCTTTTCCTTTATAATCGAACCGTCCATCTTCGAATCGATCGCACGCCAAGTCGATCGAATCGCGATTTCACGATTCGATCGAAGAGATGGAAAGCGGTGACCGGTCGCCCTTTTCGGCTCCCATTCACTTTCGCGTCGCCATTCAAAGATACTGGTCGAGCGGGGAGGTCCAGTATATATATATATATATATATATATATATTTATATACACGTATATACCATACGAAATCCGGCAGGGACGCGAGAACGAGAGGTCGATAGGATCGCGTCTTACAACCGGTACAACGAGGACTGGTTTTTCGTCGCGTATTGGAGGTCGTCGCCTGTCTTTTTGTTCCTCGCCCCCCTCCTTTTAAACCGCTCGCCCCGGTACGCGCCGCGATAAATAAACACGGTAGTCGTCCCCCTCGGATGGCTTCCGTTTCGATTCGATTCCCGATAAACCCGCCCCCGTTCGCCACTCGCTCCTTCCACCCAACTCGGTGGGACAGGATAGCCCGGTGTTCTCGTGGTGGATGCGTGACGCGGCACGTGCGCGCAATTTAACTCGTTTCGCCGAATATATTTAATTCGACGCGAATTTGTCGCGAGTCGAGGAACGAGACGATGGGACAAGGGGGGAGGAACGGGGTGGTGGACGAATAAATGACGAGTCGAGTTGGGCCGCGTGTAAGACACTGCCGTGGAATGCGGTCGTTTCCACGCGGCGTGCCGAGAAAATTTAAGAGGCGGGATCATCCAACGTTGCTATCACGCGGGCAAAATGTGTGTAAATCTCGCGTTTTTTCTTTTTTTTCTTTTTTATCGCATTACCGATTATTATCTCGAGACGGCCTCGAGTCGATTTGCCAAACGATCTGCCACCCGACGTTCGTTCAAACGCGCTTCTCCAACAGAGAATTTCGTTCGAAATTGGTGGGGGGGGGGAGGAGGGGGGATTTCCATCGATGCGCCGCGTCGATCTGGGACAGGAAACGCAGATCCAATTGCGAATCCATCAAAATCGGTCGTCCGAGCGCGTAGCTTTCGGTCTAAAAACTTTTGCCCAGGTTCAGGAGGTTATCGCGACGAGATTGCGCTTGTAGGTCACTTTGTTGTCTACCAAACTCTGTCAACCACGACCGACTCTCTTCTCAACTTTTGTTACAAATGTTGGCGGAAAAGTTGGCGGATAGAGAGAAACAAAAATTCCTGAATATCTTTTTTCCAATAACAGCGATCGTGACCCTTGACATCTCTCCCCACCACAGCTACCTCCCCCCACTCCTCCCTCTTTTCTTTCACCGTGTTACCTTGGCACCGAACGTTGCCGCGAAAAAAATTCCCTCGATAAACAATGAGATTCCTCGGCGATTGGCACGCAACGAGCATTATCTCTGTCAACTTAACGAGTACCGATCGAAACGCCGGGGAAAAAATAGAAAACAGAGAGCGTCGAAATTGAATTGGCCCAGAAATTTTCCATAATCCTTCCGATTCGATCGTGGTTGGCAAGTTGTAGATGTGCTTCTTCGAGTGGACCACCTTCTTGAAAGAAATCCCTTCCTCGCGTAAAGGAAGGAAGGAAGGAAAAACGAAGGTTCGACGAAGAAATGTCGGATCGATTTTGCGCATAATTTTATTGTTTCGTTATCAAACTCGGTGCGCGGGTGCACCGTATTCACAATCGCATTCACAATCCTTTGGCTTACGGCGTTACAGCTTCGATAAAGTTTAATATATATATATATACCGTTTCTCTTCTTTTCTTTTCTCTTTTTTTTTTTGTCCGTTTCCGCATTTCTTGTTCCTGAAACTATGTCTGAGATATGTCGAAGGCAGGTACAGGAGATACGTCGATGAACACTAAATGGGTACGATGGGTAATAATCGCGCCACCTACGATACGTCCGCTGTGGTATCGTCGTGGAAGGAAGGAAAAGATCTCGAATCGGATCTCCTCGATTGCATCGCTCGCGTTTTACAAGATGTAACGTAAAATAACAACGTTAAAATGTGTGTGTGTGGAATGCATCGAGGAAGAAAAGAAAGGAAGGAAGAAAAAGGAAAAAGAAACGGTAAACAAACGTTCCTTTCTTAATTATTATATCAAAGCAAGATCTATCGATGCGAACTTTCCGTTATTACGTTATTATTACTCTTACATATCTTATTATCTTACTTACTCTACTCCTTATTATTATTACTTTTTAACCCTTTTTTTTCTTTTTTTTTTTTCTTTTTTTTTAATCTTAAAAATCGAGATACGAAAAGAAAAAACGCGCCTGGTCGCGATTCTCGCTCTCTCTAAAAAAGATTCTCTGTCTAAAATTACGGAAGAGAAATCGCGAGAAAAGAGAAAAAAACAGAAGACAAGGAGAAGAGGAGGAGGAGGAGGAAGGAGAGGAAAGTATGGAAACGTCGAGAGTGTCGATCGAAAGCATCGAAAGTGGTCGCGATCGAGATCGAGATCGAGCGAGGGAGGACAACGATAATAATAATAATAATAATAATAATAATAATAATCAATCTCTAATTTCTTCAAGCTTCCTTAAAATACTTAGAAAAAACGTCCGTCTCGCGGATAAGCTTAACGCTAAACGTGCTAAAAAAAACGTGCTGGTAGCAGCTCGACGACGAGGAGTTCTTCTTCTAACGAATGGATTCGATCTCGCCGATCTCGTCATCGCCTCGCCTTCCTCCTCTCCCCCTGTCCCAGGGATCGTTCACAACGTGGACGGCAGGATGGAGGAAACGGCGAGGAAGAGCGTGGCGGCGAGCGCGAGGGCGACGGCTGGCGACCTCGGGCTGGACGCGGCCGACAATCGAAGCTTGGCCATCAGATCGTCGGGCACGTCCACGTACACCTTCTCGACCCCGATCTCCCGTATCAGCTGCGACAACTTGTCCGCGTCCACCTTGTCCCTCTCGCTCGACCACACGGTCAGGCTCGCGTTCTTGATGTCCGAATTCTCCATCAACTTCTTGATCACGCTCGCGTCGTTCGCCGCGAGGCCTGCCCTCACCGGGTAAGTTACCGGCTGAGCAACTTTCTGCTCCTTCAGCGTACTTATCATCCGTTGGATCTGCTGTTCCGTGTATCGGTCGGTATTCTCCGTCCCGTTCTCCGTGTAGCTGAAATCCATATCGCGTTTTCGATATCGTTTCGACGTTTTATATATATATATATTTATATTTTCTCTCTTACTTGGTAGTCCAGCCGACCGACAGCGTGTACTCCGGATACGCCTTCGCTTGGCCCACGAAGGATTTCGCGTCGACCGGTGTCGCGGTTGCGTTCGTCGGCCCTTCCAGTATATCGGCGTTCAGGAACACTGGGAACGTCAACTGAGAAAAAAAAAGAATCGAGTTGAAGGATTCGATACCTGTGTGAAATAAGTAGGAGAACTCGAGATATATATACGTACGTTGTTGCGAACTTTGTCGAGGATAGGTTTGCTCCCGTTGAACGCCTCGATGCTCTTGAAGTCCAGCTTGATCCCCTTCCTTCCCTTCTTCTCGATCACGGCGTTGAGGAAATTCTCGAGCGACAGGTCGCTCTCGTTCGCAGGCGGATGCGCCATTATAGGTTGAACGGTGTCCTGTCCTGTTACTTTGCCGAGCACAACGTCGGCCTCCAGCATCATCGCGTTCCCTTTGAACAGGCGAGAGTTCGTTAGAGAGAGAGAGATGGAGAGGGAAATCCTTAAAGGGGAGGGGTAGAGGGTGGCGGTGGAGTGCAATTGCGGCGCAAAAAGGGAAGAGGTGGCGAGAAAAAGAGGGAAAATCGGCTAGTCTCGTGGACACGTGCAACGAATATCGATCACGGCTGAACGAGTCACGGAACAAACTCTTCTTCTTCTTCGTCGGCGTTGCGATTATTTGAGACAAGGTTTCTCGAAAATTTTCACGCCTAGATTTCACGATTATTGAATTTTCCATCGATTTCGAGGATCGAGAAGATCCTCTTCCCGAATATTAGCCCTTCGTATTTATGTTTAAAAATATTACCAATCAAGAGTCCTAACGTAAATATATGCGTAATAATAAAATGGAGGATGGCGACACGCAAAGGGGTTATTCAAATTATCCGGAATAATCTCGATTTGTCAAACGGACTTCGTACCTTTAATCGATTCATTTATTACGCCTTGGAGCAAATTTTGCTCCGTTTATCGATGGAACGTGGCGAAGCGAGAGAAACGAAGGGATTAAAAATGGAACAGACTTTGAACGGTTTCGTTCACCAATGGGGTGTTAATAAACGATCGTCGCGAAAACCTTCGGAAAATCATCCTTTTTCTCTCCCGCCGCATCCTATTCTCGCCACACGCGAAAGAAAATGAATCGATTTATTAGGCGTGCAAACAAGTCCCCCCTTTCCTACGATCCTAACTCTCCACCGAATTCGAATCGCTCGTGGCGCCATCTGAAACGGCGTTCTTAAGAAGAGCGGCGACAACCGCTTCGAAAGTTCCCCACGCGCACTCTTTCCAAGTGCATTCGAACCGGTAAGGAAAACGTCGTAGCACAAAGATTCGAATTTGGAAATTTTAATTTGGAGGACGACGATTCGTCCGAATCTCGTACCGTTCGTGTAATAATAAAATCTTGGGGAAAAGGGGAGGGGGAAAATTATTGGGTAAAATAATCGATCGAACTCACCTTCCAACGTCTTGTTCAACTTTGCTTTGTCGTTGACGGCGTGGGCCCAGGTGATCTTGGTAAGATTCCCCTCGATCTCGGGGAAGAAGTTGGCCACAGTTTCCGTGACGGATGATGCGCACATGGCAGAGTCTGAAACACGCGAAACACGTCTTCCCCTCTTAATATTCCCTTCGACCCAATAATATCCCCGTAATTGAACCGCGAATTCCTCGGCCGCCAAGGCTTCGAGGCGAGGATTCGGAGAGTTTTGGGCGCGAGGGGGAGGAGGAATCCTCGCCCTACTTCGCTCATTGTGCCTCGAGAGATCGATAATCACGTTTCTTCCTTACAGTCCCTCTCTCTCTCTCTCTCTCTCTGTGACTATTCGCACAGCACAAGAAACAGTTTCGAGAAAAGACCAGGCGAGAGCAACGTTTTCGTTAACCAAGCATTCGATTATAACTGAAACAATACGAGAATTCGACTTGATCCGGGTATTCCCCAACCATCAGGAAAATTATTATCGATCTGAATAAAAATAATATAATTCCGCGAACAAGTATTTTTAAAATAATATAAAATGAATAAAATTTATATCATTGATATCGCGAATCGATATTTTAAACTATTTAAATAAACAAAATATAATTTTAAAAGCATTACATTTAACGGGACTCGATGTATCATTAAAATAAAATATTCAATCTAATAATCCATTTTTTAATTTTAAATTCAACGTATAAGTTTTTCCCGTGATTAATAAATGTAAATAAATGAATTGAATGAATAAATCTGAATAAACAATATAAAACTAATAAAATAATAACTATATATTTAAATCAAGATAATTAATCCAATTATTAATAATACTTCGCTTACTAAATTTAATGAAACTGGTGATCCTATATTTGATGAACGTGATATAAATCATATATATAATAAAGAAGGTATAAAATTAATCATTCCCTTATCGATAAATATCGATTGACTAATTCGTTCCCTCCCTCCCTCCCTCTCTTTTTTATCCTGTTTAAAACCTTGCCGGTTCTCTCGAGGCGAGGATAAAAAAAGAGAAGAAGAGGAAGAAAAAAAAAAAAAAAAGAACGATACGCGCGTCGAAAAAGGAAGGAGGATATCGATCGATGTATAAATAATAATAATAATAATAATAATAATACGAAGGGAGGGCGCGAATATATCGCGAATCGGTCGACCGACTTGCAGCGATCCGAGTCATCGATTCCGCACACCTTTGGCTGGCGACGGTCGTCGAACCAGCTTCAACGAGAAGAACGTGAACAATCCGCCGACCCATTCTTTTACCCCGCAATGGTTGGTCGACGCCGGTTCAAAGAACCGGCACAGAGTTTCGAGAGGCGAGAAGAGCGAAATCGTGCACACAACCGATCCGTCTGCGTTTCCATCGATTTTCCATCGATCCTCCTCCTCTCCGTTTCCTCGAACCACGCTTACGTAAAAAAATTTACTCTTTTTTTTTTTTAAACGCAAGCCTTGTCACGTTGTTCTTGAAAATAATTATCGACGGATTAGAGGATTCGTTATCGCGATTCGCACTTTCGAAACTGCTCGTTTTCTCTTTTCGTTTCTTCTTCTTCTTCTTCTTCTTCGTCTTCTTCTTCTTCTAGTCTAGTTTCCAATTGCGACATCGTTCGGACATGCGCGCCATTTACTCTCGCGGTCTTGATCTTAAGTGAAAGCTGGCGAGCGACAGTCCACTTTCCACACTCGAATCGTCATCGGGAGAGTGGGTTTCGAGCCCCGCTGAAATTTGTTTTCCCACACTTATTTCCGTCGAGCCGATCGAAATCTCCAAATTATCGGAAATTCCAATTTCCAGGTCGAGCGACGATCGCCAGTCTCCACGCGTGTAACCTTGTCCCTGTGTAGCGGATATCGATGTTGGTCACGTAGGAATCGTGAGCATAGACACCACGTGTTCGAGGCACGTATTCGACCACGGCATCCGTGTTTTCGGTGGAAAAAAAAAAAAAAGGAAAAAACGTCTTGGACGACCAACGGTGACAAACGCCGCTTCGTGACGCGAAAGCGCGTCGTCAAAACAGAGTGTGCAACCCTGTTGATGACAAAGTAGTCTTGATACGATAATAACGCGATAGATTGCACCGTGATTTATTTCCACGAGGCGATACCATTACGAGTTTGTTGGCACCGCATGACACGCGATTCGAAGGATTAGAAATGCCATTTCCATCCTTTTCCAAACCCCGTTCGTGTCTCCGTTCTTGCTCCTCCTCTTATCGATCGAGCGAAATTAATCGATCGACGATTAATGGATTTCGTCCCATCCGAACGATACACGATCGAACGTATAAAAGATTCGAAAAGATCCATCCTTCGTTCAACTTGGCCGTTTACGCGTAACGTTTGATAACCGTCGAAGAATTCGATCGACACACCTTGATGCGTTTATTTTTGAACGCGAAAGACGAGTATCAAAAATTTCTCGTATCTTTTTTATCGAAATTCATATTTGAAATGACACGATAAATAATTTTATATATATATATATGTACATTGGCTCATAGAGTTAGATCATTTTATAAGTAACATTTTTTAATAAGAATCTTATCACGAGCAAATATTTTTACAGCGTACGGCTTTCGAGACTGATAACGCGATCGAGAATTGCTTCATGAGTCACCTTTCCCCGATACGTGTATTTAAATAAGGATACAACGACGGAAAACGGGTAATAATAATCTTAAAGGCTACAGTCGGGCCTATAGGAATGATCGCGAGGATGACGTTGCTCGTGTCACCCGTGCCGATTAAAAGCAAATTTAAAAGAGAAGTTACCGAGAAACTCGAATCAATCTTATCGATTTCTCCGTGTAAACCGGTGACGAGCTTTCGTTCCTTTTCTTCTTTCGATTCTTCTCCTCGCGTCCCTACCCTCGTATGATCCATATAACAATTCGTAACAAACAACTTTCTCTCGAATGCGCGACAGCTTCATCGATCTTTCCGCAAATCTCGTTTTCGTAATACCATTTTCACCGATAATCACGTTGCCGCCTCTCCCCACCCCGGTTGCGGGCAATCCGTGTATTTTCACAGATCCCCGGTAATATTTACGGCAAACGATACACGGTGGTCGCAGTTGTTCCGTATTTATAAGTGACGGTCGGTCGTTAATTAGCCCGATAACTGGTCGCTTCTTTCTGTTTATCGTTGTTAAACAGAAAATCTCGGAAAATATCGATCCCTGCCCAAGTCGATTAGTCTAATTAGAACTGCTCCTAGATAGGTCTCCCCCTTCCCCCCCCCCTCCTTCGTAATGGGAACGAAGATTATTTAATTTTTCTCCGTTAATTGTTTGCGTGACTTTCCTCTCCCTTGTTCCCCTCTCTATACTCTGTGGTGTGCTGGGGAATAATTATTCGAAGAATTCCGCAGACGCGCCCCTTTGTTCTCGCCTGAATGCGCTTTTCGAACGTCGTGGCTTCAACGTTCGTCAGGGTATACACGTTGCGCCGTTCGTTAAACTTGCGCTCGAGAACTCGGCGAAGTTCGAAATTTTGGCGCGTTTTTGTTCCTTCTTCCGTCTCGTGAAGGAAAAGAGATCCGATTTTGTTTCGCGCGGATGGAAGTTTGCGGTTTTGCGAGTAGAGATAATTCGCGTCGAACGATAATTTTCTTCCTTCTTCCTTCGCAGGCCAGACCGCAAAAAACGTCTAAACTGGAAACGATAAGTCTCGCCTCTCCTTCTCTAGAAAATTTTGCGAGAGAATACTTGGTTGCCTCGCGCACCACCATCGTGTGAAACGGCAGTCTATTTTTAAGAGTTCTCGGCTCGGCGATACGAGTGGAAAATGCTGACTCGTCAACGGGGAAATAAAGGAGAGAGGAAACGCGTGTGCGAAAGTACGAGGAAAATAAATAAAGGAGGAAGAGTGGAAAGGAAGTGTTACGAGTATCAACGGGAGAATCGGGTTACGCCCAGTGTGTATCCTCGCCGTTTCGAGTTATTGGTCGGTTTTTTTCGAATAGTTACATCGCGACACGAAAGCACAAAAAAGATTAGAAATCGATCGATCTTTTGGTCGTTGGAATTTGATCGTGCGAAAACGGAAATTCCGTCCGTTATTCTCAGCGTAAGCTTTATCGGTAATCGGTGGTGGTCCTCGTTTTCGAAAGGAGAGAGTGGTCAGAGTTTAAAATGCAGGCAAAAAAGATGAGAGAGGAAGAAAATCGATGAGCGGTGAGCGTATAAGTTTTATTCGTTTGCGAAACGGGAGGAGATAAAATTTGGAAAAAATCGACCGTGTTTCATTCCGTTCGAACCGAGTCTCGTATCTTTGCGACGAGATTTAATTGCGTCAATTTGCGACACACTGGAAAACGCGATCGAACGCTCGGTTTTCGGGTATCGCTCGCTATTTCACTTTCGAACGAAAGAAAGAAAGAAGAAAAGACAGAGAGAGAGAGAGAGAGAGCGAGAGAAAAAGAAAAAGATGGGGGGAAAAAACTTACGGATCACCGCCAAGGCGAGAAGACTGGACGCCGTCTTTACGACACTCTTCATGGTCTCCGAAGAGGAGCGTGCACCGTAATCGCGCGAGGAGAAAGAGAGAAGCGAGATAGGCGCGCGGTCGAACGACGAACAGCAGTCTACAACAGTTTGGAAGAGAAAGAGGAAGAGGGCAGAACCGGCGCGGCTCTGAACGTCGAACGACACCCGTTTAGCTCGGTAGCCTCGAAACGACTGACTGTACCTGACTGTCGGTCGTCCCGTACCGTCCACGATCGATCCTCGAAATCCAACTCCGTACACACAATACGGCGGAGCCGCGTGCAACACGGAGCTGAGCGCGCGCGCCACTCCGCCTCGCTAACTGCTCCGCTCATTCGATTCCACACCATTCGATTCGACTCCGCTCGATTCCGTTCGATTCGCGCCTGCCTTCCCTGCCTTCCATGTTTCCCGATGCGCCGCGCAACACCCGCACGCGTGTCCCACGCTTCACGCTTCCGGACACCGTGGATAAAAACGTGGGGTGAATAACAGGCCGTGGGGAAAGGGCTCTTCTCGCTCTTTCGCCCGCTTTGAATACAGAGGGAAGGGGGGCAGGATCGAATTAGAAGCCGGCTCGAAGAAAGAAAGAAAGGATTCGCGCTCTTCCAATTCAATTTTCCATCGTCTTCGAAAATTTGGCGATAAAACGCTTCGTGCGACGAGTAAGTGAGTAAGTAAGTAAGTGAATAAGTAAGGATGGAATAAACGAAGGAACGGACGAGAGGTAAGGTCGAAAACCAGGTGTCGTTTCGCGTTTATCGGAAAATTGTTCAAATATCCCGTGTAATTGATAACGGGCCGGGATCGATAGTCGACGAACGAGTCGCGCTGTGCATCTGTGCAAACGATGTATTTTTCAAATCTAAAATTATGCGTAATAACGTAGGATCGTAGTCTTACGTAAGATTTACACTCTTGGACGCGAGATACGAATTTTTCTCGAAATTGGATGGACGGGAATCGAATAATCGAAACCACCTACGATACGATATAGCGTATAGTTCAACGGCGATCGAAAGACGCGCGCATCCTGTCTGCGAAAATTTATCTGGGCGAGAGGATTGTGATTACCATTGCGAAAACGCGTGCATATCGTTCGACGCGACATGTGTTGGACGCGTGAGCCCTAATCGAGCCGTAAACCCGACGACAGGGCTCGTTTCTCGGATCGGTGAAGGGTCGGTCGGCTTTGAAACATCTGTCGAGGGTTCGCGATCGAGGAAGGGTAAACGAGTACGTGACGCGAACCTTTTGCGCCACGTTTTGCGATCTAGTCACCTCGATCTCGTTGTACTTCCAAGCCAAGGAATTTACAAGGCAACGATGCATTGTCAATCGAGTCGCGGAAAAAAACTAATTCTTATCTCGCCGAACGCGTATGTAGAGTTGAACAACCGATCGTTCTTGCGTTCTATTTGCACTTTTACGATTATTTACGATCGCTTGTAAAAAAAAAAAAAAAATCGCGTATAAAAATATTCCTTTGAATTGAGAAACAAATTCGGAGGAGAAAATGGAACACGAAAGAGAAAAAAATGAAAAAAAGGAAGGAAAAAGAGCGCACTTATAACTGGCGCGTAATAAGAGTGGGAACGAAGGGTTACCCTTATTCCTTGCGCAATCGTTGAATTTAATTTTGATATTTATTTCATCGCGATAATCGCGAGGCATGTGACGAAATAATCGACTCTTGGGAAATTCATTTTCCATTCGTAAGCGGTCGAGGGAACGAGAGAGGATAAATATTTAATCTGGCGTTACGATATCCCGTTACGTAAGGCGAGAAATAAATTCGAAAGGATATAGGAGTTTCTCGCAAATACTCGAAAACGAGCGGCCTCGCGCGAAAAGGTCGTTCCTAAATCGGTCTCGTAACTTCCGGACTTGTCCTTGACTCGTTTCCCGAGCGAGCAAGGAAGAGGAAATGCATCGGCGCGTTCCAAATTTTCCAGGTCGACACTGTGTCTCCTCCTCCTCCTCCTCCTTCTCTCCCCTCCCCTTCCTGTGCGTGCTCTGTGCCTACGTGTGTGCACATGCGATAACGCGCGCGCACCCTCCTATGTAGAAGGAAGCAAACTCAGGGCCGGCGCTGTTCAGATACAATAGAAAATGGCAGTTTCCCCGAGACAATAGGGAATACTCTCTTTTGTAGCGCGAGTCGAAGCTCTCTTTCTCTCCCCTCGACTCTCCGCCCTTCCTTCTTACGACGACTCGAGCGCTCGTAGATATCCTCTTTAAAGTCGGAATTGAAACAAACCGACGCGTCGCGACGTGACGATTAGACGTTTCGATGCCTGTTTTATGCATTTTCGCTCGAAAAGGCTACCGATCCCAACGAAACGAAGGGCGAACGAAGATTTCTCGCGCGATCGAAGATTTCCCTTCTCTTATTCAACTGCTAGAAAATTGTGTCGACTTACCGACTAAATTCGTTTCTTTCTAGTTACAGTGGCGCTTCGTGTCTATTCGATTAATTGGTAAACACGTCTTACGTGGCTTTCGGCGACTCGAGGTCAACGTTGCTTACACTCGCACCGGTTATACGCGCAAACTCTTCGTTCCACCGGTTATTCGCTCTATTTTATTCCACGTCACCTCGTAAAACGCGATTCCCATTCGCATTTTCTTTCGTATTGTAACATTTTGAAATCGCCTACCTCCGTTACTTTCCTTTCCTTTGGCTCCTTTCTTTCGCCTTCCTCCTTTGCCAATGTTTCACTTCTCACCGATCCCTCTTAACGCAACCCGAATGAGAGGTTTACCAAAGCGATTTTCAATCGACATCGATCGAACGCTCGTGTTTCTTTTACTGGAATGTCAGATATTGAATATTGCTAGTGTTAACGAAGAATGTTATATAAGCGTAAAGAGATCAATACGGAACGATGTGTCTCTTACCAGCTGCTGAAAAATCAGTTTCGAATCTCGTCATTTTCAAAAACTCATTTCTCTCGTGTTGTAATTTTTTCGGTCATTTTTTGTAAAATTTTACTCATCTTTAAATTTTATACTATGTATAATTGATATTGGAAGTAACGTTCGGCCCTATTCCGCTTTTAACTTTTATCTAATCACTGAAAGAGATATCCGCTTGAATACATATTTAAGAAGAAAGGTAATTGGAACGCAAGATAAAAATACATAATGTTATTATAAAAAATTTGAAGAAATACTTTTTAATGGTGTAGAACGTGTACGAACGTTATTTGTTATTAAATTGGCGTTTGGAAATAAAAAATTTGATCACAAAGAAAAATCAAATTTAAAAAACTCTCATATTCTGAAATACCGATCGCACGAAAAATCAAAGCATTTATCGTGCTCTGTACGATTTAGAACGATGTGTAAAAAAATTATTCGATTCAATCGCAAAAATCGATAGAATCTTTTTATAAATATTTTCAGGTATCAAATAATATTCGTAGATTCTTTTAATTGTTACGAATAGTGGACAAATTCATGTATGAGTATAAAATTATGGAAAAAAATGGATTTTTATTAAATAGTATCATTTACGATATTCGTGTTATACAAAAAAAAAAATCGACGATTTTTAATCAATAGACAAGGAAAATAATAAAGATAATGAGATATCGAACCATCTTTTGAGCATATGAATTTTGAGGAACGAGAAGTAGACAAGGAGATTAAAGAAAAAATATGAGACCATTCGAGAATACTGCAATTGAAAGGATGTAGAACGCATGTAGAAAACATATAGTGGAAGAAACGTAGAAATGAGAATTGACGATCAGCGCCATCTCTTGAATATCCTCGGAAAATGATTTTTCGAAGAGACATTTGTGTCATTCAATGAAATAGCATTTTTACTCCATCTCTGACTCCTCTTATTTCCTCTTCTTATCTATATTCGTTTCTGGAGCACACGCGAGAAGTATCGATCCTCCAAATAGATAAAAAGAATGCGGAATGTTAGATTTGTTTCGTATCTCGTTTGCGATTTGATTAAAAAAATTAAAAGAAAAGAAAGAAAAAAAAAGAGAATATACACAAGCGTATGTTTATAATTTGTTTTTATCAACCAACGATGTATTCGAGCACTTAATGATCCATCGATGATAAAAAGCATATAACCTAATTACATCACGAATGTTGCAACATATGACCTGATCTCTGTTTCTATTTTTAAAAAATTTTTGCGAAAATGAAAACGATAATATTCCATGCGCAACGTTCGAATAATTACGCGATGATAAAATTTTGACGAATTTTTTATTAAAATACAATACAAAATCGTACGGAATTTTTGAATGGACAGACGTATTTTTTTTTTGTAGTTACAACGTATCTATTACGATAATACCTAACTATCGTGTATCGCAATTTAAATCTCGCAATTTATGTATCACGTTTGATTTATATAAATCGTTGGCATTCATGGCAATCTTACGAACAAGTAGTGAACAAGTAAAAAACACTTAACAGGTTTCCCGACAAGTTTGGCACAAAAGTAGTATTCGGAACGATAGGAACATTGATATCGGCGATAATATTATTATTCATTCGTATACTAACCATTCGTGGACAACAACCAATACTACCGTTGAACGACGGCCGTGAAAGTAAAGTTTGGCCGTGTAATTGACGTATCTCGTTATCTTATGATTGTAGCTAGTAACGAGTATAACCGATGTTTACGGTTGAGCAGAATTGAGAGTTCCTTGGTCCCATTTATCTATCTATTTACATGTATAATTACGCACGCTATTAAACCGCTCGAATCGAACCGATTTTGATCGGTATCCGATTTCAATTTCTATTTCTATCAATAAATGTCAATTATCAAAGCATCGTTCGCGCTCTCTTCGCAAATACATAATTACATTTGGTTTTTATTGAATAATAAAGGTAGGTACGTACTATCGTCGAATCGATGCAAAATCTTTCTTGCAATATCTTTTGGATCAGCTTAGCAGAAATATAACCATGCTGTACCTTCGTTTTATCATCGAAACGATCGAGAACACGAAAGATTCTACATCCGATAGCGATTATAGAAAATATGCGTCCATATCATTCGGATACATAGACATTAATTAAATTTTGCCTACGATTCTAAATTTGATAAAAAATCCGGTTGAAACGTCAACCCAAACTTGGTGATCCTCGTGTAACAAGTTAAAAAAAATGTTTCATTTTCTCTATATTTTCCTATATTTTTTATTAAAACTCGTCACACAAGAATCGCTTCGCTTAATTCGCATAGCCAACGCAGCGTTCAAACAACGAACAACGCTTTTTCGCAAAGACAAAAACCCCTCGACCGTCAATTGCCATCTATCGAGCATAGATATGGACGATCGATGGACGTTTTCGTTTTCCTTATCCTCTATTTTTGAGTCTGTAGCTTCGATTGTAGATCCATATTAAAACACTCGATCGAGTTGGGATACAACTTCCGATCGTTTCTCACGTGTACGTCGTCGCCCGTGTTATTCTTGTCCAAGTAAACCAGTTCCGATTTCTTCGCCGATGCCATCTCTTGCTTCACGCTCTGTCAACGCGAGAACGATTAGATCTTAAATACGTAATAAATGGACGCGAGTTTCGTGTTAAACAATTTCCGTTTACCTTGTCGATAGCTACCGAAGCGGCACGTTGCCTGTTTAACAGGTATAATATAACCATTGTTAGGATTATGAGCGATCCAACGAGGATCATAATTACACCAGCGTATATAAACACGTTGGGCAAGGACAAAAATTTCTTCAAATCGTTAACAAACTTCTCGGTCGCTTCGACCTCCAACGAGAACCACATCACCGGGAAGTAAATGGTCGGCACAGACTTGTAAAGTCTGAAACAGAGATCTATCGTAAGTATATACCTGTCCATCGATCTAATTATCGTTGGAAACGCACTTACGTCACTGTCTTTGACGGTTCTAGCAGTATATTGATTTGAAACTTGGCGGAAACCTTGAGAGGAATGCCCGTTGTCTGAAAAAAGTCGATCGCTTATTCGTTACTTACTTACTTACTGTTCACTGGTGGAAAAAGAAGTCTCGCGCGGAAGGAATGCAAGATCTGATTGGTTAATATGGAAGGAAACGCCTACTTTCACACGCACTTTTGTTTCTATCCTGGTATTCTGTCACACACACTAATCCAAAACGACGATCTGTATCTAAACTTCGATGCATTAGCGTAGGCATAGAATTCATCCAGAGAATTCTAACGTGTCGATATATACATTTTTTTTTTATTCTAATAATATGCGTAGGTTAATTACGATTTGCAACGATAGTTTAATTCATAAATCCAATTTCATATTCGAATAGTTAACATAATAAGATAAGATCATAGAAAGTATTTCAAAAATATTTCACTTTCTTAACTTCATAAACTTTCACGAATATTCGAATTGTAGCTCTTCTACCATCACGTCAGGTTTGTCAACAAACCGTTTGAAGTGGGGATAAACAGTTCTGGCGAAGAACAGTCCCTCTTGTCCTTGTGCCGTCCCGCGAGACTTCTTTCCACCAGTGAACAGTATTTATCTATTCTTTATCCGATCGCTTCGTTTTCGCGACGAAACGAATAAAATATTCAATCGTTTAAATATCGATGAGATGTAGTTAAGGATTCGAGGTTGGGAACGCATAGATGAACGGATGGAAAGATAGAGGGGGAGACCTCGATAACCTTACCGGTTCGAGAATTATGTAGGAATCGTATTCCTCGTTGGGCTCGACGAGTCCGGTTATCCGTTCCCTGAGGCTCGGCTCGCCCCTGTTGAAATAGGGCAGGCTGGCGAACACAGGAGCTCCGTGTCGGCACGAGCTGACGTTCATCAAGCCAGCGGGGCTGCATCTCCCGTTGCAGAACAGTTGCCTATGTTCACCACATCCGGATCCTGTTCCGGGGGATCGGTGGTCTCGGTCGAGTGTTCCGCATCGAAAAAGTCCTCGGTGGTGGTGGTCTGCTCGAAATACTTGGCCTGCTCGTGGGGATAGCGTCGTTTCGTGTTGTTTCCCAACGTCTTCTCGCCTAGCACGTAACGATATCCCTCCAATCCCATGTGTTGACTCGTCCGCGCGTACTCGTACGTCAACGGTCTGGAATGGGAAGAGAGAAAGGGAATCAAATCGGGAATTCGAAACGAGGATGGATGGAAAACGTCGTCGACTTCATCCTCGACCGGTGGGAGGAGGAGAGTGATCGCGCGTAAACGGGATTACCGGACGATCCAATTTACGTGTCTCTCGAAGGTCAACGAGGGAGGATCGCCCGGCAACGAAGGTTCTTCTCGCCGGCGAGAGTTTAATTTTGCCCAGTTTCAGACAGACGGGACTAATTAGCGCGGAGCAAAAGGCACGCGACTGACCTGCACAGATCGCCGCTGAACAAAACGATCTCGTCCTTCTCTCTGTACGGCGGCCAAAACTCTCCCGCGCTTCCCTCGACCACGTTGCACGGGCTATTGAACAATTTGCTCGTGTCCCGATAATTCCATTTCCTCACTTGGCCGAAGTTGGCCACGTCCTGGGTGCCCGTGTCCATGTTGAAGTGGCCGTCGAACGTCGTAGACCCGTTCCTCTGAAACAGCGACGCGACTTGATGATCTCGACCGGTGCGACGTTCTTTCAAGAACGATCTTTGAAGAAAGAAAAAAAAGAAAAAAAGGAGGAAAGGGGTGGATAGGATAGGATAGAACGTATCGTAGGATTAATCCGCCGCAAATGTAGGTACACGAGTGACGTAACAAATTAATACATAATATGCCTCCCATTGCTTTTCATTTGTCATTCACCGACCTACACGTGACCTGTCCTATTCAGTACTAATTTAAGTCTCGCTGCGAATAATTTATAGCCGGCTGCAATGCCGTTGCTACAACAGCGCAAATCGCATCTTCGACCTTCTGCACGCCCTCGACACTATTAGATAAACAATTTTAGTTACTCACTATTCGGATCAATCGGGCAATCCTTACCATGTAAAACCATCCGAATTTGTCGAACGGTGGTATGTCGTCCGCTATGGCCGCCATTCGTCCAATTTCGATCAACGAGTCGTCGTAACCGCGGAACAACAGCTCGTCCACCGTCTTCGTGATGTGCACGTTCGATGCCGCGAGCATCAACGAAAGGGTGCTTTGCAGCGTGTCCGCCCAATATCGTACCTTGTGTTTCGCCGACTGAAACGCGAAACGTATCATCGGCGAAGGGATAAAGAAGAGAGAGAAAAATTAACATTTTACTCACAATCGCAACGGTGTTCAATTGCGTGACGCGATCGTTGAGGGAACCGTTCGTAAGCTCAGGCACGAAGAACCACCATCGACGGTTGAAGTAGCTCACCGTGTGATTCTCAGGATGGAATACCACGTCTGCTTTTTGCCTAATCTCTCTGAAATTTCAATCGTACTCTCGCATCGTATAATACGTTATCATTGCTTCTATTCATCTCGAGAAAGAGAGACGCACATTGGAATTGTGTGCGATCGAAATCGAACGTTTATTACTTTTTTTCTTTTTCTTTTTACGTAACTTCCTGTGCCGATAATCACACGACTGGAATTCGTCGACGAATAGCGAGGCTTATATTTCGATGATACAAAAAAGAAAAAGGAAAAAAAAAAAAGCAACATTTATGATCGCCACGTTTCTGCATAATTGGGATCGTGCAGCGTGTTATTATGCACGAATGCTGGAGATCGGGTGAAAAAAATGGCAAATGTTACGTGAACGACGCCGGTGATGGCCGGTAATCAAGAAGAGAGAAGAGTTAGTTGCGTCGTGCGACGGCCGAGCAAACGCTCAATTAAGCTCGTGATTAGAAAACTGTGATTTGCCGCTTCACTCTATATATCCTTGCGTGCACCGTTGATTAGATTCCACGCGACAATCGTTGCCGGTTAACCGGGCGGATGCGATCCGCCAACATTCGAAACGCTCTCCTCGAGCAAAAATCGAACCGATTCGAAAAAAATGGCGCTGATTAAAAGCGGCAGTTGTTTCAAGCGCTCGAGAGAGAGAGAGAGAGAAAGCAGCAATTAAAGGAGGAATGGTTTTAATCGTTTTAAACCCTCCCACGCGCGGCTTTGTTACTCGGCCGAGACCGGTCGAGTTTTCACCGCTCATTAAGATGTCAATATCACGAGGTTAACTGGATAACGTTCGTTTCTTATCGTGATTAGGTCGATATGTCGATCCGGTCAAAGGTTCGATTCAATTTTACGTCTACTATTCCCCTTGTGCCCCACGCAAACGAGTTCTCCTCTTTTCTCGCGATCATCCGTCGTATCCGTGTTTTTTTCTTATTTCCATATTCGAATCGCGCAACGGGTAACAATTTACTTTTTACGCAACGGTTTCCGGCGTTTCCCCTCCTTTCGATTCTTCGATTTCCATCCGATGGATGATAATTAATCGATACGCCCGACGTTACGTTTCATTTTATGACTGTACAACGCTTGAAGAGCCTTACCGAAACACGTAAGGGCCGAGCTCGACGAAGTTGGGCTTCTTCCCAGGCGTCCTCAGCTCCTCTGGATTCGTCCAATTGAAGAAATGAATTTTAAAATACATGGGTGGCAAGCCGCTCGTGTCGTTCCACACTTCGAACGCTTTCGATGTTGTCGTTAACGGTATTTCCTGACGACACAGAACAGAGATTGCAATTCTTTTTTTTTTCATTTTCACGTTTTCCTGCGAAAATCGTGCGATTCTCGCTCGTTACTCGCGCAAAAGTCCGCCCGAAAGATTAAAAATACGGTTGTTTGTTGTGAACGGGCGCGACCTTTACTGGCCCGAGTTGTACGCTATGCACGTTTCTTCGCAATGAGAAATTATTCGTCTGGCGCAACTCTGAAGAGATACGTCAATTAATTGAACAATCAACCACTTTTCCAATCGCGTTGGGAATAACGACGAGACACAAGCGAGACTGCCGACTAAGAATACCTTGTATTCGTCGAGAAAGTCTCTCTCTCTCTATACGGCTATTTTCATCGATCACGATAATTGATCGAAAATTTTCGAGAAAAGGGACGATTTTTATCTTCTATTTTATCGATCGAAAGAGGGAAATAAGATCCCGGCCGATTAAACGTGGAGAGATAGCAGAGAGATAAAAATAGGTTATATCCTATCTCTCGATTGGCGCAAGTTTTTCATACGGAACGAAGTAACGATCGATTCGAATTCGATTCGAGGAAATAAAGTTTTTACCACCATTTTGCACGCGGAGAAGAATTCGTTTATCGGGCGAAAATCGAACGAAACTCACCTTTTGAAGGATGTAATGAAAAATGGCGGACGAAGTGAAATAGAAAACGGCGCCCGACACGACGAGAAGTAAGCCGAGAAAACCAAGGCCGAGGGACTTGTTGGACCAAGGCCTCATGGTGAACGAAGCACGTGTAAACTCGTTCCTTGGACGATCGAGGACGGCGGTGTTGTATTCGTCGATCGAATCCGGCTCCCTCGTTCTTCTTTCGCTTCTTCTCTCTCTCTCTCTCCTCTTTCACACAACGAAATCTGAAGCAAGCATAAAATTTATTTAATCAACCAGTCATTGAGCTGTTTCCCCTGTGATTCATGCTTCGCGTGTTTCCATCGTATACACGATGCGTTTCTCGTGTGGGCCAAGCTGGAAACGACAACTTCGTTACGCTGTAAACTGCGAGGGAACCGTTGAGAATTTGAACTCGCTTCGCTATCCGAACGTTTAACTTGGAGAGTCACTATCGTCATAGGGCGCCACGTATTCTACGCGATTATCCTTTTCGTTTCAAGTTCGATTTTTTAATTCGTCGCCTTGAATTTAAATTCAAATGAAAACTCATCTTGCAAACGCAACGCATAATAAAAATGGGATAAAATAACACGATCCATCTATATTTAAAGATTTTTCTATATTTATTCATCTATATTTAAAGATGCAACTGAAGCAAAAAATATCAAAAGCGCACACAAGCGTTTATTGATATTAAGTTTCTTTG